CTATCACTGAGTTACATTCACAGCCTTTGGAGTTTGAAGGCAGAGTCTCTCTGTGTATCTCAAACTGGCCTTGAACAGGTGATCCTCCTGCCTCACAGTCCTGAGTGCCGGGATGACAGATGTGTGGGCATCTGACTTAGACAAGGATTTTGAAGTGGTCTACAAACTCCTTGATGATACCGATGAAGAAGGGTAGGAGTCAAGTGTTTCTAGCACCATTGTTTGCAATGGCTCTGAAGTGAAATCATGCAAGGGTCCATCAGAGGACCCATGTGTAAGCAAACCTGCTCTGTATAATCAGACAGTGTGAGATTGCACAGAAGAATTAAAAGAAAAACAATGTGCCTCCTGGTGTGACACCACAGATGATCTTTACACCTACTTGGAGGAGGGACAAAGGCTGATACCTTCTCTCACACCCTCAGAGGATGAACTTTTGTGTAGAGTTAAACATGTATTTTTCTTAAACAAATGAGGGAAGAGTGGAAAGTACTCTCCACTCTGGCCTGGGGATGGCTCCTTTCAGAGGCAGCAGCAGGGTCCACCAGAGACATCCTGTGTGTTGCCTCATCTATCAAGAACCACCAGCCCGCTCTGCTCCCTCTGATCTGTCTGTTCTAGGTGTTGTTGCCCTACTGAGGTGCCTCTCCGCTCTTTCTTCCTCTTCCCATTGGAAAGAGCCAAGAGAGATGAGCAGAGGAGCCGCAAGGGCCAGGGAAGTAAGGGGTCTTAGTTAGGTTTCTATTGTTATGATGAAACATCAAGACCAGAATTAGCTTGTGGGGCAAAGGGTTTATTTTAGTGTACAGTGCTCAGGTCAGACTCCGTTATGAAGGGACGTGTCAGTACAGGAGCCTGGAAGCAGGTATTGAAGCAGAGACCATGGGGGAGTGCTACTTACTGGCTTGCTTCTCATGGCGTGCTCAGCCTGCTTGTTTATAGAAACCAGGGTACCAGCTCAAGGGTGGTACAAGCCACAGGGAGCTGGGTCCTCCCACATCAATCATAAATCAAGGAAATGCACCGCAGATTTTCCCACAGGCCAATCTAGTGGGAAGATTTTCTCAATTGAGGGCCCCTTTTCCTAATAGCCCTAACTTATATCACGTGACATAAAACTAGCCAGTGCAGACAAGAGGATTTAACTAGGGAGAGAACTAATTAGAGAAGAAATTCGAGGGAGTCCTTAATTACTAAGTAGTCATCCACACCTACCCTGTTGGTGGCTGTGGGCAGCTCTCCCAGAAGGCTGCCTGTTCCTGCCCCACTGAGGCCATAAGAGGGAGGAGCGTTATTGCTTTGGGACTCTTAAATGAGGACTGGCAGGCAATGAGTTAAAGTTTTGCCTTTCCATATTTTTTTAAGTTTTATTTTTATTTTATGCAAATGCGTGTTTGCCTGCATGTATTTCTGTGCGCCACATGTATGCGATATCTATGGAGTCCAGAAGAGGATACCAGATCCCCTGAAACTGAAGTTACAGGTGTTTTTTGTTTTGCAAGCATCTTGTGGGTTCTGGGAACCAAACGTGGGTCCTCTGCAAGAGCAGGAAGTGCTATTAACTTCTGAGCTATCTCTCTAGCCTTGTTGTATGTTCTTCAAAGACAAATTTTGTTGTTATAAAAAAAATATATTTAAAGTTGACCACACATAGCACTTTGCACTCACTGTATATTGTGTAACTGTGACATACTCCTAGTTTAGACCATTTTCACATACACACACACGCACACGCACGCACACACACACACACACACACACACACACACAAAGAGACCCTGTATCCATCGTAGTCTGTGGCATTTCCTGCTCTGGACTTGTCCCATAATAGAATGAGACCACGTGTGACCTTTGTGACCTGACACCTTTCATGATGTCTTTAAGGCCTAGCCATGAGAACTGGGACCTTATTCCATTTCATTTCTGAGTAATATTCCATCAAATGGCTATTCCGTGTTTTATCCATATCCTCAAGGATGGTCCTTTGTATCATCTACAGGTTTGGCCCTTGCGAATACTTCTGCCCTGAATGTTCACATCCAGCTTACTGGGGTGCTTGTTTTCAGTCTTGCGGAGAGTGGTCTCCCCATCTGTCTCCAGCATCTATTAACTCCTGATTTGTGGGTGGTGAGCTAGCAAGGACTTCTTCCTAGGAAAGAAAAAGGCAAGAGGGCTGCAGCTGGCTCCGGAGATAAAGGCAAGGCCGTCAGATGGCCAGCAGGGAGGGTGACTGGCGGCTGTGTTTCACAGGTGGGAAAACCACCCTCAGCATAGCACATTGGACAAATTAAGAATTAGCTCCTCCCCCTCGCCCCCGTGGGTGCTCTCCCACCCCTTTCCTGCCCTCTCTGGCTCAGAATTATGGTGTCTTTCCAAAGGTCCCTGTACTCCCTAGATAGGAGAGATCTCAGGACACTCTGCCTTCGTGGTCAACCATATCCTCGTGTGTAAACCGAGGCTTCCTGTGAGTTCGCTGTGTTTCGCAGATAGATTAACCAGAATCATTCTAAAGAGAAAGGTACCAGGAAACTGAGGAGAGCCAGGCTCCCTGCAGTTCCTCAAAGCTGAGGCCCTCGGGCATCAGGTGACTCAATTCGTTCACTCTGTGGCCCACAGAACTCCTTCCGGGCCAGCTTTCCAACATCAATCAACTCCAGGGGGTGTTGACTTCCCTTTCTTGGCAGCAGAAACCTCAGAGAACAACCTTTGAGGGTACATTCCAGACTCGGTGGAGAGGCAGTTGGAGGGGAGGTCTGTGTGTCTGCCTGGACTTTATCTCTCAGGGAGTGGAGCCTGGGAGAGCTTTGCCCCTTAGGGTGATATTTCCTCCAGCTCTTGAAACAACCCTGGCCGTGGTCTCCCTTTTGGATTCTGGGTATGTTACTCTGGCTCTCCACAGCCCACAGCGTGTTCCACACCTGGGCCAACATTAGCATCTTTTGTTTCATCTATGTGGAAATAGCCTGACTGAGTCACTTGCCCGAGGTCCAGTGGTGACTGAGGTAGGATTGGCACCCGGAGTGCTTGGAGCCCGAGGCTGTTTACGCTGCGGCCCTGGATCCTCTTTGTGCAGGGCCTTCCTGTGAGCTTCAGAACCTTGCTTAACCCCCGCTTCAACAGCTTCCCATGGACCTCCCTCCTAATACTCCTGATGTTAGTTAGGCCCAAGGAAAGATGAGGGACCAGCCATCTCATCCTCTGGTTCTAGACGACTCTCCAGCAAACCACCCCTCTTCAGCACACACCACTACCCCCCCACTCCCAACCCCAATTACCACTTTATTCCCAAGACCCTGTGTATACAGGATTCTCTCTCTCCCCTCTGCCCTCCTCCATGCCTCCCTTGCTTTCTTCTTTTCTCCCTCTTCTCATTCGTTAACTCTTGCTGTTTTGAGACAGGGTCTTGCTAGGGCCTAGACTGGTCTCAGATTCACGATTCTCCCACCTCATTCTTCTGAGCACCATCATTCCTGCTTCTCCCTCACTCTTTCTCCTTCTTTATTCTATTTGTATTGCCTTTATTCTGGCTGTCTTCCAGGCAAGGAGACGCTAGAGTGGTTCATGTTCGGGGCCAGTCTCTCCTGCTCCCGGGTTCATTTGTGTTTGGCGTATGATCTGTGCTCCCACGAGGCGGATACTGCACTACTGTCAGCCTGGCTGCTGTGTGTCTCGCCATCACCTGTCTAGAGTACAGTCTTTCATGCAAAATCAAAGAGGCACTGTGGCTCAGCAGGAGCCCCTGCAGGAGACACAAACATGTGAGCACAGTTGTGAGAATTCATGGCATGCACCAGGGCTCCACAGAGGGCTGAGGGAGGCCATGTTTACTCCCAGCAGCACCTGGGATTTGCTCCTTCCTCTTATGGTACACAGGCCATTGCAGGAACCTGAGACAAAGTCCCCTCGGGGCTATCTGGAGAGGGGCATCAAGAGCACACCCTTCATTGCTCTGGTTTCAACCATTATCCTGTTTTCCTAAATATTGGTCATTGATGGCCAAAGGAGCCTCTCCTGTTGGGCATGGCAGGGGACACAGAGGGCACCAAGGAGCTGGTCGACTTTTGTATTTGTAAACAGGTTTTGCTGAGAATTTTTCGGCCTTCCGTCGTTGCAATTCTGAGTTTTGTCAATTTACCTTCTCCAAAAGGCACAGCAATTGTGTGGGCTAATTTGGATCCTCTGTTTTTATTTTAAATGTTCTTTAGCCAAGAATCTTTATTTCTGTGTTTATTGGAGATTTACGTGGAACAGATAAAAGAGAAAAAAAAGAAGATAAAACTTGCCTGTAAGCCCCCCACCGAGGGATCACAGATGCAGCTACAGTGTGTGCCCGCCTTCCACCTAATGCTCTGACTTACATATTCTTCTGTTTCTTAAGACAAATGTTACCGTGCACAGTCACAAGAATCAAGTCTATGATGTCTGGTTCATTTTTTAAAAACTCCTGGTTCCCTGTGCCACAGTGATACGACACTTGGAGAGAGAGAGAAACCCAACCCAGCTCTCACAGACTCTCAACATTATTAGAGAATGTTTTACACCTCGCTCTGCCGCGGCATGTATTAATTACTGCTGCTAGGTTTGCGCAGCAGGCCTGGGGCTGTATCTGCTGCTGTACTCAGTGGTCCTGTGGAGTGTAGACTGTACATCCCACAGTGGGTGTAGACTGCACAGTCCACAGCGGGTGTGGAACCCACAGTCTACAGCGGGTGTAGATTGCATAGTCCACAGCAGGGCATGCAGAGTGACAGGACCCTTGGCACGCGCAGCACCCTGGGTTTGAGTTTTTTCAGGGTCTGCAAGGGAAGAAGGTCAGTTCTATCTGCTCTGGATGGGGCTGTGCCTTCTGTGAGGGGCACCTCATACTGCACATCACCTATCCCAAAAGATGCCTGCAGGCCACCCTATCCCCCCAGTTGTGCAATTCCAAAGTGATTTTGTGGTTCCAAACAGTTGTGGAAATGACAAGTATGTCTGACCCTTTCCTTCCTCTCCAACAGAAGCCTGGGATGGTCCCCCCTCCGCCGGGAGAGGAGAGCCAGACGGTCATCCTTCCACCTGGCTGGCACAGCTACCTGTCTCCTCAGGGCCGCCGTTACTATGTCAACACGACTACCAATGGTGAGTCCCGCTCAGGAAGAGCCTTTTCTAACCCCCCTCCCCCAACATGTCTGCCTCTTCCTGGGCTGCTTTTCTCTCTCCCGTTTCACCCTCTTGTTTGGGGCTTTTTCTTGCTAAATCTGACTCAAGGAAAAGTAACCTGACATCTTAACCCCCTGATTCTAGAATTGTTTATAGTATGCCAGGGGCTACAGTAGGGTCCTGCTCATCCCCGGTGCTGGGTGTTGGAGCCTCACTGTGCATTCTGGAAGCAGCTTTAGAGAGGACAGCTGTACTTACAGATTCCCAGAATTCTTGACACCCCACACCAACCTTCAACAAGCCAGTTCAACAGATCAAGGTAATCTATACTGTCCAGGGACTGTTCTAATGGTACTGGAGAGCCAGAGGCTGCAAAAACTCGTCCTGATTTTACTGTAACACCCTTTTCTCGACTTAAGTATCTCACTGGCTGCTGTTTTGCAGATTGTCCATTTGGGAATGGTGGAACTATGTGTAGATCATTCATCCTCTCCCTTAGCTCTGGGTCCCTGCCCCCATCCCTATCTTCCTGTGCTCTCTCCTTTCTTTTCCCATTTCTTCTTTCCTCATTTTTTTGAAACAGGGTCTCATTTGGTAGTCTAGGCTGGACTGGAATTCACCCTGTAGCCCAGACTGGTCTCGAATGCCTGCTAATTCTTCTGCGACAACCTCCCAGTTGTGAGCATTAGAAGCCTACATCCAGCCGCCCAACCACTCCCTGCATCTCTTTGAGCTGAATGGGACTGGAGCTCCATGCTCCAAAGAGTTAAACTTCCCTGGACCTCCCAAATGACTCCAGGAACCCTAATGTGGAGATGCCTCACGATGCTGTGCAGTACAGCTAGTCTTGGCACAAGTTAAGCAGGACACTGTTCAGGTTGAGGGCAGAAGTGTAAGACAAACCAGCTGAGCAGTCCTGACCTCCCTGTATTTCCAAGGACTCTGCCTCAAGGAAACAAAGAGAAACAGCACAAGGAACATTAGACTTGCTGGGCACTGTAGACATTTGTGCCAAGAATGTGAATGCCTACCTGTTGGCGTATAAATATATATTATTTATTATATATATTTATATATTTATAAATATATATTATTTATTATAATTTATTTATTATTATTTTATGTGCATTGGTGTTTTGCCTACAGGTATATCCATGCAAGGGAATCAGATCCCCTAGAATGGAGTTACAGACAGTTGCCATGTGGGTGCTGGGGATTAAACCCAGGCCCTCTGGAAGAGCAACCAGTATTCTTAACCGCTAAGCCATTTCTCCAGCCGAGACATGGATGTTATTAATACAATTTACGATTTTGAGCCTGCACTAAGGGGAGGGCTCCCAGTGAGAGGACAGGCAGCAGTCGTTTAGAGGGAGACAGAAGCTGACAGCTGCTTCTTTGACTGGCTGAACTGTGCATACCACAAGCACCCTAACCTGCAAGCTCAGCAGGGTGTTCCCCTTGAAGAGCAGTGACCAGGGTTTCTAGGAAAAGGGAAGTGGGGCTGTTTTTTAACTGTTCTAATCTCACACTTCCTCAAAACAAACACTTGAGCATCTTTGCCCTGCTCAGGAGCCTTGATGTTTCAGGGGTGCATGTGACTGTTTGAATGCGCTTCCCCTGGGGGGGGGGCGGCTGCTTCAGTGCGGTTCCCCAGGGGAGTGGGTGTCTGAACACAGATCTCCATCTGTGCTGTGCAGTTTGGATTGGATGAGCTCAAGAGCAAGAATTGGGGTGGATTTGTTCTTGTCTCAAATTAGCCAGTCTGTTGCAAAGGGGAATGGAGATAATGCCTTTCTAGGCTATCTGTCTGTCTGTCTGTCTGTCTGTCCGTCTGTCCATCTGTCCTCTGTCCGTCCGTCCTTCCATCCATCCATCCATCCTTCCTTCCGTCCGTCCGTCCATCCATCCATTCATCCATCTATCCACCTATCTATCTATCGATCGATCTATCGATCTATCTATCTAAATCTCTCTCCCTCTCACTCCTCAGTTAAAGTATAGTATATTCTCAGGGTTAAAAAGCCACTGAATAAAAACGGTATTCAAACCAACATTAAAAATCCTCCGTCGCATTTCCCAGAGCTATTTATCACATATATCCTTTGAGGCATTTGTATCCTCTATCTTCTAAGCATAGGCATGCTGGTGTTTTAAAAATAAATTACATATGTTATCCATCCTATCCTTTAAATCATGGCAACAATTTATTGTAGGCCTCGTTCTAGAGTTTGAATATTTTTACCTAATTCGTTCCTTTTCATCGCTGTGTATTAGGAATGTGCTGCTGTTAGTTGAAGTACGACCCTATGTAGAAATGGAAATGCAGCTGCATTTGATATCATCAGACAGTGTCTGGCAGCTTCCTTCTGGGATTCTGACTGTTGATAAGCCAGTAGGGCTGAGCTTCCTTGGGGTTGTGGGGTGCTCCTCAGGTTGGTAAGCTGATTTTCTAGCAGACAAAAGGCAGTAAATAGTTTAGATTTGGAAGGTTATGGTCTCTGACACAGCGACTTAACTTTATTACTTAGCATGAGCAGTAATGTAGACAGTATGTAAGCTAGTGCATGCAGCTACGTTCTAGTAAAACTTTATATGTGGCAAAAAGAAGGGGAGGGCCTTTGTATTTGGACACTTGAATATGAATTGCAGGTAACTGACGTGCCACTAAATCACATTGTTTTTATTTTTTAACATTAAACACTGCAGAGGATAGCTTTGGTTCACAAGTTCACCAGTCTTATGGGTAGTAGGGTGGATGATTCGCTAGGTTATCTGATGAGTTCAGTAGGACTGGCCCCTCTCAGTTTCTCTCTTACTGGGTAACCCTAACTTCTTGGTCTTGCATTCTGGATGCAGGTCAACTTTACTCACTCATTAGGTAATTATTGTATTCATTATTTTTCTGGTCAATTCAACACGTATTTTTATTGAGCCTCAAATATATACCATAAAGAATGGCCTTGCCCTGCTCATCGTGGGGGCAGATTTTAAATTTTTGTGTTTAATTTGTGCATGTGTGGGAGCAGTGGAGGGGTATCTGTGTGTGCTGATGGGGATTGAACTCCACGTTCTGGGCAAATGGATCCTGCTTGATTATCCATGAGAAGGGCTGTGAAGAGGTCTGGGGTATTTGAAGAGAGTGTCGCAGAGATCCTGTAGGGCTGGTGATGTCCCTGGAGGTAGATAGGACCAGGAAGGGACAGAATGGGAAATGCCTCTCCCAGTTTAGTTGGTCTGCTGGGGTTTTCCCCCACCCTCCCCTGTTTGGAAGCCTCATGCCTGTCTGTAGCGGAGCACCAAGCAAAAGCCATCCTGGGGCCTCTGAGTTGGTAGCTTACTGCTGGACCCCCCATTCTGTCCCAACTTGCATGCTTCTTGCCAACCCCTCCTCCATCTGTCCAGGCAGCAGATCAAGGGCAAGTCAGGCCCACTACCCGCTGCTTCGAGGCACTGGTGTGCTCTTCTCATTCTCACAGAGGATAGTTTTCAAATGCAGATGCCCCTTAAGGTGACAGTCAAGACCTCTGACTAAAAACTCCCACAGATGCCCCTGGGTGTGATGTTCGCATAGAACCTACACCCACCCTAATGTGGACTTTAAGTTGTTTCTAGTATAATACCAATCTGATGCCAATGCTATGTAAATACTGTGGCTCTGTGTTCAGGGAACAGACAAGAAAAAAGGCCTGTGCATGTGCAGAGACTATGCAGTTGCCTCCCCCTGTGTATCTCAGCCCTCTGTGACTGGTAGAATCCACCAGTGCAGAACCCTAGGATCCTGAGAGCCGCCTGGCTTTCTCCCCACCCCCTAATCCCTAATCTGTCTTCTCCCAGAGGGCACTTGGGCATAATAAGTATTCTGTGCAAAGTCTCATTTACACTGGTGTCCCCTTAACCTGATAATCTGCTTGTTCTGGCATCCATTTAGAATTTCATGGATGAGGGTCTACGCCCCCACTTGCCGCTGGTCAGGCCGTGGGTATACAACACCAAATGAGGAAAAGGTTCTGTTTTAGGAGATTGTAGCTCCAAAGGGGTCAGAGACAAGCAAACACCTACAAGCAGTACAGGCCATGACAAAGGGGAGTGGGAGCTCCAGTGAGGGACCTGTCACCTGCATGTGGTGGGTGCAGGAGCTCTAAGGAGGGACTGATGGCAGAGGGTGAGGCGGCAGGAGGAAAGCAGGTCCGTGGGCTTGGCAGGGTAGGGACGTAGAAGTGAGGGAATGCTGGGGTGTGACATGACTCTTCACCCAGTGGGCAGCGGGAAGCCGTGGGAAGTCTCCAAACAGTGGCAGGACCCCATGGCAACCTTACAGCAAGGCTCCTTGTGCAGCAGTTAAAGGTTTGGGAGCACGGAGCATGGAGTAGACAGCCTAAATGAAATGTGAAATAATGAGGTCAGTACAGTCTATGGCAGTGGTCTGAAAGAGGCAGGGGCTGAACTCTGTGAGACAGGATGTGGCAGGTCGGTGGCAGGGAGCTTCCCCGCCTCCCGGCTTTCTGCCTTGGGTGGCAGTCATGAAGTAAACGAGAGCAGGAGACACTCAGAAGTGAGTTGGGAGAAAGGAGGTGAATCCAGGCTGCATGGTGGGTTCCTTGCTGCATGTTCAGAAAGAGATGGCCAGCCCGTAGATCGATGCATCTGCGGTTCAAAGGACATCCATGCCACTGATGGAAGTCCAGAGACTCCCGTGGGTGCATGGCCCAGCATGCAGAGAGCAGAATGGATTCCATCCCGACTGGTCCTTACTATGCAGTGACCAACATACACAACTGAGTGGGGTGATCCAGAATTTGCATTTCTTTAGAATAGAGGTTGCTGTGGGACAATGATCTTGTACCCTGTAAAGATTTATCAGTTGTATTTTAATAAAACACTAATTGGCCAGTAGCCAGGCAGGAAGTATAGGTGGTGCGACCAGCAAGAAGTGTAGGTGGGACAATGAGAACAGGAGAATTCTGGGAAGAGGAAAAGTC